TCGTTTAATGACTTTACATCAGAATACGCATATGGTTCGAAGGCAACCACGAAATGTGACGTATACAGCTTCGGCGTGGTGTTGTTGGAGCTAATAACGGGGAAAGAGCCAATGGAGGGAGAATATGGAGAGAACAAGAACATAGTGTCTTGGGTTTCTGCAAAGGTGGAAACCAAGGAAGGAGCATGCCAAGTTTTGGACAAACGTTTGACAGCATTGTTTGAGGATGACATGATTAAGGTTCTTCATGTCGCCATTCGTTGCACTTCTAAGACGCCCTCCCTTCGCCCAACCATGAATGAAGTCGTCCAAATGCTAGTGGAGGCTGATCCTTGCAAGTTCAACTGTTGCCAGTTTCCAAATAAGACCAAAACCGACTTGGAAAGTGTCATCAAGCCAAAGCCAAAGAGTGGTTGTGATGTGTGATAGAGAATTTTGGAGGGGTATTAGATGAATAAGAATATATAGATCATATCAATAAGATTCAGAGCCTGTTTTGTAACTGTGAAATTGGCTGAGGTTGATGAACTTGTAACTAAAATAACTGAATTTGCTGAAATATGGAAAGAGTTAATTAAGATATGGTGTATATACTACTCCTTCCGTCCCAAAATAAATGTCTTGTTTGTTTTATTACAAGTTTTAAGAAAGTGATTGAAAAGATAAAAATTGTGATTGAGATTTGAGTAGAAAAAAGATGAATTGATATGAGCCACACATTATTGCCAAAAGAGGAAACAAGAAAATTATTTTGAAACGGACTTAAAAAGAAAGCAAGAAAGTTATTTTGGGACGGATGGAGTACTAATAAAATTAAGACGCTCTCCCTTCATCCTTATAGAATTTTCTGTTTTCCATTTTCGGACATCTACTAATAAAGTTCTCTTTTCTTATTTGATAAGCAAAGTCATATCAATTTACTTTACCACATGTGCGCTATAATGATTGAACAATATCAAATATCAAGTAACAATGTCAAACATTGTCAAAATATTGTAATCACCTTCCGTAAGCAAACATTTAAGTAAGTAAAAAAAACGTGTGTGATATTCAAATTGAGAAGTTTTTGTATCGTATGAAGGTAGAATTGCACATTTCAGCATGTAACAGTAAATGCCTATTAACAAATGTAAGCAATATGTATTCTGTATTCATATAAGAAATAGGAAAAAACAACAGAAATAACTAAGATAACGTATAATATTTAGGACACGTTTACTTCACGGGTTACTAAACGGTGCTTATGAAGACTCGCGTTAATAAGCGGCGCATAAAATAAGCAGTGTTATAAGCTCATGTTACTTCAAAGTATTTAAAACACCGTTTAACATTAAAATGTCCAAAATAACCATATACATATATAGACACAAAAACATTCATGAATACAAGTATATAATACTCCCTCCGTCTCAATATAAAAGGCACATTTTCCTTTTCGGGCTGTCCCAATATAAAAGGCACATTTCCCTTTTTGGCAAACAAAACAGTGCCAAACAGTGTCTAAACAGTGTCACACAGTGTCTAAACCGTGCCAAACAGTGTTTAAACAGTGTTTACCTAAAAAATGTGTGGAAACGCAAATGTGTCTTTTATATTGGGACGGAGGGAGTATAATATATGGGGGTCACCTCGTACACGTACTCATACCCCTAACCATACCCTTACCCCCACCACCCTACACCCAATTCTTTGACCCCCTACACCTTCCCTACCCCTACCCTTATCATGACCTTACCCTCAACCCATACTCCCCTACAACCCTCATAGGTAGGGGGTAACCCCTACCCTACTCGTGGGGATGGGGTCAGGGTGGGGTCGAGCTAGGGGCAAGTGGTAGGAGTAAAGGGGCAGGGCCGTGGTAGGGTAAGGGGTAAGAGGGTATGGTTGAGGTAGGCTGGTAAATTCAGAAACTGAAAAAGATTAAAGTGCCGCTTCATTAATACATGAGGTGGTGGTATGCATAGTAAGCGGCAATTTAAGCGAGTTTTTTCCTAAATTAATGTTAATTAAATAAATATTTACCAAATTAAGGTTGGGTTAATAATAATTCTCATACTACTGCTACCTTGGTTAAACGTACGGAGTAGGCCACAAATGTAGGAATCAAGATGGGTCCCTCATAATTATAAAACCCATTTTTTCTTTAAATGACTATAACTTTTTTATTTTTACTCTATTTTGTATAAAAAATATCTCACAATTCATAATTTTTTATGATCTTTCATTTGACACCAATATTGCATATGTAATTTTTTTTAAAAAAATGAAGAATATATGGAGCCCGTTTGGGAACTCTTTTTTCAATGCAGTTTGATAAATAATTTCAACCTTACTTGTTTTGATTATTATTACACAATAAACACACAAAATTAAAAGTTTCGTGTTTGGTAAAAAAGTTGGTTGATGAGACTGATAAGTCGGAAAAAAGAGTTCCCAAACGGGCTCCATATACTCTTCATTTAAAAAAAAAATTACATATGCAATATTGGTGTCAAATGAAAAATCATAAAAAATTATGAATTTTGATATATTTTTTATACAAAATAGAGTAAAAATAAAAAAGTTATAGTCATTTAAAGAAAAAATGGGTTTTATAATTATGAGGGACCCATCTTGATTCCTATGTTTAGAAAAGCAGTATGTTTAGAAAAGCCGTATGGCCGTATGGGTTTGTTTAACCAAGGTAGCAGTAGTATGGGAATTATTATTAACCCAACTTTAATTTGGTAAATATTTATTTAATTAACATTAATTTAGGAAAAAACTCAATTTAAGCACCTCTTTCGGTTAGTAAGCAGCTATTTAAGCATTTTGCGCGTTTACTTCATCTGTCTTACTAAACTAACTATAACTTTAGCAGTGAAGTAAATACCTCTCTAGAGTTGACGATAATTTTTTCAACATAAAAACTGAATGTATATACGCAATTATTATATGGTTATATATGGACAAGTGTATGCGGTTGATTAATAACAAATTATTAATGTTTTCGAACATGTGGCCTTGAATTAACATGTTCCATTAATACAAAAAGTGTTTATCGTACCCTTCATTTTGTAGCACCATTCAAATTGCTACAATATAGTATCTATTGGAATATTATTGTACAAAAAAATGCTACAATAAAATTAGAAAATGCTACAATACTTCTATTGTAACACCACTCGAATGCAGCATGCTAAAAATGTTGCTTTTGATATATTGTGACATTTTGGACAACTATTACAATATTTTGCATATGTTACAAAAGTTATACTTTGTTGTAGCGTTCATCTGAGATTTATTCTGTAGAAATTTAAAGTTGAACAACTATACAAGTAGTTTCTTACAACTATACATGACACATGTTTACTCACCATGTTTTAAATTGAACTTGTTTTAATTCGAGATCCAACGAAACTAGATTTAAGGAGATCATAACATGACACACTAAATCAAATCAGAATTAAACAAAAGTAAATATATACTTTCATGTAACGTTTATCAAATTAGACCATAAAAATTCACTCCAACTAAAAAACTGTTTGGGCATTTATATTTCTAGCCAATAGCAACTTTAATGTATATAAATGTTTTAAGACTACACGTATCATCTGCGACTTTCAATGACCCACATACATAATGATTATTTATCTTTTTGGACCTCTTGTCCTGCTTTTCCCCTTTTAAATCTTTATATAGGTGATGAAATGAGCCACAAGAAAAGGACTCTAAAGATTATAAAAGAAGATGCGAGTGATTGTGGAATTCTTGCAAACACTTTTGTTGTATATTGATACAATGAGTGAATTCCTAATTATGTATTATAAATGGGAGAATTATTTATGGGGGAAGATTGATTGAAGAGCATATTTGTCTCCATTTTAGCAAAGGAGCACACTCAGAAAGCACTTTTAGCCCCTTTTTATCTCTTTTTTGTAGTAGGCTAGTATCGGACCATTGGCATTTAAATTCAACCCTATAGATGGTGTTTGGTGACGCGGAAATTTGACATGTACATTATCAATATACCTCCAAAATAGGATGGGGCATCACAGGGCCGGTCCTGAGAATTCTAGGACCCTGTGCAAAGAAAAAAATGGGCCTTTTTTTAATGTATAGAGAAACCAAATGTATTTACCTAATGACTTAATATCAATTTATTCAATGCAAATGCAAAATTCGTGAGTGTTTACTTTCACACTTTGTTGTCTCGCTAGTCATCTTGCTGTTAAAATTCTCAATGGCGTATTCAGAAAAATTCGTGTGGTGAAGAAACTTGCCTTAGATATTATCTCGAATGTCAATCAACTAATCCATTAAAAAAATTGTAAAGACATATAGATAACAGAATATTCACTAGACAAAGTCATTATAATATCATGCTTAAAATAAATAATTTTCACTTTGTTACAAATCAATTGTAATCACATGGTGTATGTTATTTGTTCAAAATCATGTTAAAAAATCTTTTCGAAAAGAAAAAAAATAAAGACAAATAAGTAAAGCCACTTTAAATGATTTAAGGCTTTGAAAGAGCAAAAGGAAAAAAAATTAAAAGCTTGCACCAAGCCTCGAACACAGGACCCTATTGCGACGCCTAATGGACATCCCCTCACATGTTACCGCTCTGCCAACCTAAAGCATTTGTATTTTACTTGTATTTAATAGATATAATATATTACTGCTAATTATTTTTGGGCCTTCATTTTTCATGGGCCCTGTGCCATTGCACAGCCTACACCTGGCCTGGGCCGGCCCTGGGGCATCACATAATAATATACTTGATCCGTCCCATAAAACTCTTCTAGGTTTGATTGTATCGGAGTTTTTATAAAGTAAGAATAAAATAAAAATATATGATAATGAATGAGTACGAAAAATGAAAATGAATGTTAGTTGCATAAAAATTTTCAAAAAAGGAAATGAGAAGCTTTTTTTTGGGACGAAGGGAGTGTATGTTAATAAGAAGAATTCCCTAAAATATATATAGAACTCTCATGTTTTAAAAAATGTTCTGATTATATTAGACAAAATTGTCATTAATGAAATTATAATTAGTAAAAAACGAAAAAACAGAAGTTCCATCTGATGAATAGCCTTTTGCACAGAGTGCTGGATCATATGAATTCCTCTGAATTAGTTTTAGAAGATTATAATAATCCATCACTCTCTCATTAATTGGTAGTTTAGAAACCAATTGCATTTCCTCTATTATACCATCCTCCAGATCCTGATGAGTATCTTGTTTTGCAGCCTTGCAGGTAAAGAACCATCATGCTTTGGGGGCTGCTCAGTGAACACCTCCTCAATCTCTGAATCAGAAACCTCCAGAATCTGATGATTATTCTGTTTTGCAGGTAAAGAACCACTAGGCATTGGGGGCTGCTCAGTGAAAACCTCCCCAATCACACCAAATGGACCTTTATAAGTGGAAGCAATGCAATAATCATTCACCTTTTTTTTCCTTTTTTTTTTGTTTGTAATAAGCGAATCCTTTTCCCCTTGATTCCCAAAAGAACAACGAGTCTGTTTGTCATTAATATTTGTTTTAGGAACCCATTTTTCAACTGCCGTTGTTGTAGCCCCAAAAGCCTCCACCGGAGCCTGAGTCTCAGAAACCTTGTTCTTCTGTGGATCCTGAATCTTATTAGGGTGTATCATATTTCAACATGCATTTGATGCGTATTGGGATTGAGTTTTGCCACTTTTCCTAATCTATATATTTTGGTCACAAAGTGTTTAATTAGCTTAAGTCACGGTTTACCGGGTTTGGTATGCGTTTGCTGTTTTTAGAAGTGAAAATCAGGGAATTAAGCCCGACACCGACATTTGAGAAGTTATCGGAATGAGTCGAGAGGCAATTGAGAGTTCATTAGGAGCATTGGAGGTCAACCAGGCATTAAAGACGACATTCTTAAGACTAAAGAGCTCTAGGATCACCCACGGGATCACACGAAGACTTAAAGAGCATTTGTTAGGAAGAAAAGTGAAGAAGTTGTCTTTGGCCACCCACACGGCCGTCCACACACCGGGTGCAGAGCCGTGTGCACCTTGAACATTGTGTCTGGTGCACACAGCTGTTCACACACCATGTGCAGAGCCGTGTGCATTTTCGAAGTTACTATTCAGAATGGTAAACTTGGCCGCGCACACGGCCGTGTGAATGACCGTGTGTGACTAAAAATGTCCCAAAAGTGTATTTTTCCTATTTAAACAAGCTTTAAACCCTTATTTGAGAGGGAGAGTTTAGAGAGAAGCTCGGAGACGAATTTCTTATGGTTTTTGAGCTTTGAATCTTCAATATTCTTAGATTGTTAGTAAGTTCTATCTTTTTTTGTTAATGACAATTAATTCTTTTCTTCTCAATTCTATTGATCTTTCAATTATGAATTGTGAGTAGATTTAATTAGAGATTTGGGATTAAAAAGCCTTGCCGTAGTCATTCTGAACCGAGTGCCTATAGACTTTGCCATCGTCTCCTTTCAGTCATTGCGGAAATATGTCGGTCGGAGAATCGCTTCCACCTACGCCACTCTGATCCTCCACGAGGAAGGCATCCCCGTCACTGTGGAGAAGATTGCTACGATCGTGAAGGCGGCCGACGTTCAGGTGGAGTCCTATTGGTTTAGCCTCTTCACCAAGCTTTGTGAGAAGAAGAACATTGATGACCTCATCATGAAAGTAGGTGGCAGCAGCGGTGGTGGTGCGGTTGCCGTTGCTGCGCCGACTGCTGGTGGTGCCGCTGCTGCTCCGGCCGTTGAAGAGAAGAAGGTCGTCGTTGAGGAAGAGAGTGAAGAGGAAATGGGGCTGGGCTTGTTTGATGACTAGAGTCTAAAGTTTCTTTGACATGTTAGCTTTTTGGTTTGCAGACATGTTTTTTGATAATTTTATCATACTTATCTCGTAGGGAGAATTGATGAACCCCATCATGGTTGAATTTTCTATTAATATATCAATGAATCTATATTTTAATGCCTAAAAAGAAGAAGGGGTATTTATCATGATCTAGGGTTCCGTTCTTGATGGCTTAATTGCATGCTAATCATTTAATTTGTTTTTGAATAACCTAATTGATATCTTTTGTAACTCGGAACGGCCGCTAGGAGAGAGGCCGGTTTTGCAGCAATCGACGCAGAAGAGAAGATCGATACATTTACGGTTTTAATTATATTATATTAGGGGTAAAATGATAATAGTGAGTCCTATTTATGAAATATAAATATTAACTCATATTAGATAACTTTGATAATATTTTGATTATATTTACGCTAATGTAAAATATTTTACACATTTCCACATTTCACATTTCCTTATACCATATTAAAATGAAAAGGGATTATTAACTGAATATATCTCCAATTATAATCAAATTCACAAATCTATTCCATATTTTCACGTTTATTAAATAAGGACTCAAACTTCAACTTTTCTCACAATTACACTTTCAATAGATGAATTAGTAAAAATTAAAAAGAAAATCATATTAATACTTCATATTTTTTTCACTTCTTTCTAGTTTTATGTTTACAAACTTGTATTGCTTGTATCTTATATGTATTGATAAACTATGTAATTTTGAAAAAACAAAAAAGAAAAGCATAATTGTTCAAAAAGATGAAGTTTGAGTCTTTTTTGATAAAAGTGAAAGAATAAGATAGATTTGTGAATTTGATGATCGTTTGGGATAAAATAAGCTAATAATCCAATGAAAAATTGTCATTTTAGTATACCATATTTTCATAAGGAGGAAAGTGTCAGTTTAGTACATCAAATCGTAACTGATAGAGTAAAGAGTACTTGATGATGCAATCGAGGCTGAGAAGTACATAAACTCTGCTAATCAGTGCTAATTTAGTCCTACCAGACATTAGGTGAGATAAAACGCTGAGTTGGCAATTATTAATGGAAAACCCTTCATTTTTATTTTTAAAATATTTTGAAATTATAAAAGAAGTCCAATTGGCCTGCAAAATTGCATAAAACCCCTTCAATCCCTGAAGTTGCACGCCGGCAACACATGGGAAATGACGACATGGAAGTCACGACTTGGACATAAGAGGTGATAGTGCGATGACAACCGTCGAACGGAGGAATTATAATTTCAGATCCGGTGGGTGGTGACTTTCAGCAAAGGGATCTGGCAGGCGACAACTTTCAGAAATGGGATCCGGTGAGGAAAGATGGAAGCCGCTAGCTAGATTTCCGATGATGAGAGAAGCTTTCTCGAGCCACCCTTGATACTCCTTTAAGGCATATCCAAAGGCTTCGGTGTGATGCTCCAGAGTGAGGAAGACCTGCCTCCGAGGCTGGAGTGCTCGTTCAAAACTTATTCCTAGAGTCCCTCTTGAGAATGTACTGTTCATCGTATGTGGGCGGCGGCCTTTTGCGGCTTTTGGAAACTGCTGAACGCAAGAGCCGGGTAGTGAGAGAAGAACGCTAAGGTTGTTTGACTTATTGACTGTATCTTTAATTTTGCCACATCACTAAACATTTGGTCATGTCAGCTTTAATTTCACTTAAATACAACCTGGTACCAAATTAACACTCGTTTGGTCATTTTATGTACTTCTCAGCCTCGATTGCATCATCAGGTACTCTTTACTCTATCTGTTTCGACTTTGTGTACTGAACTGACACTAACCTCTTTTCATAAGTATATATGAATATGCAAAGGTTTCTATTTATAGAAAATTGAATATCACTCCGTATCATATAGATGGAGGGTGTGATGACTGATGTTTCTAGGTTTACGGCGGCTCAGCCGCCTCAGCCACCTGGATCGCCGTGGACAAGGAGATCTTTTGCTGTTGTCGTTGCTAATCAATCAGAAAATGTTCTATAAAAAAATCCTGCTCGCTACAAGGGTGTTCCTGCGATTCATTTTCCGGAGGGCGACATTCAGGAATTGGCAAAGAGGCACAAGAGGGCATTGGTTATTTTTTCACAACAAGGCCGAGTATGATCAATCTGCCCAAATCCTTTGAAATTATTGGTTTCAAAGGTAAATTTTATTTGGGGCTACTGAATCAGAAGTATGTACTCATAAGGTTTGAGTTAGAGGAAGATTACTTGAGGTGTTGGAATAGGCAAACTTGGTCCGTTAATGGATGTACTATGCGTGTAACAAAGTGGACTCAGGATTTTAGGTCAAACGTGGAATCCCCGGTGGTTCCAGTTTGGCTTGGATTCGAAGACGTGCCTATTCATTTGCAGGATAAAAGGGCTATGTTTGATATAGCTAGCCTGATTGCGAAGCCCATAAAAATTGATGCTGCGACGGCTTCTTTAGCAAGACCTGCTCTGGCTAGGATCTTAGTGGAGCTGGATTTGACAAAGGAGATGCCAAACAAGGTATGGATCCAGTGTGGATCCTTTGGATTCATGCAACCTATTATATATGAAAATAGGCTTGAGTACTGTACTAAGTGCTTTCACTTCGGACATTCAAATTTGAGTTGTCCCAAACAGCCAGTTGAAAACATCCTAGTGGAAGCTACACATAAGGAGATATGGCAGCCCAAAGCTAACAACATTGAAAAGGGGATTAAATTTACTAGGGAAGAGAAGGGCAAGGATAAAATGCAAAGTAATGATCTAACTATTACAGACTTTGCCACTACTTCTAAGCATCAATTTCCTAACAAGGAGAATGAAGATTCTGAGGTAGAGGAAATCATTATGGAGCCCGCACCACAAACTACTCAGCTGGGGCTGATACATCATCAAAAGGAGAACTCTCATCGGGCTTTGAAGGAGACTGTGGCTGTTTAAATCATTGATATGTCCTTGCGTTGGTGTCTGCAAAAAAATAATCAAAAGCTAAGGATGATTCACATGTGAAAGACTTCTTTTAAAGGAATACCATTCAGATAGTGAAAATTCTCCAAAAATTGACTGTGAGGCCTGGAAGGAAGGATGGACTGAAATTAGTGAAATAGTGGATAAAATAAAAAAGCATATGGAGGAGAAAGAAACTGCAATAAAAGAAAATATGGCACACGGGCAGCCCGCTATTTCAGAACCTACACTAGAAGAACAAGGGGGGTTTACAAAGGTTACTCACATAAGATCAAGAAGAAAACAAGAACCTGAAAACTCTACTATTACTACAAGGAATGTAGCAAAAAGAAGGGATAACCAAGGGTTCTCACAGGCTTCCCTTCCCTTAGCCCATTGGATTGGCTCATTTGGAATGTTAGGGGTCTAGAAGTCACCAATTCTAGACTTAATTCCCTAATTAATCAATGGAGTGTTAATGTCCTCATTGTTATCGAGCCTATTGTGGATAGGTCTAAAGCAGATTATTACAAAACCCAAATTGGTCTCAATAAAGTTGCAGCTTCTGATATCAATAAAATTTGGCTATACTAGGATTCTAATTCAGTGGATCTATTTGATTTCTTCTGGAATGATTAATTTGTCCATTTCAAGGTTAAGAAAGGCAATTTTTTTAGGATGGTTCACTGCTATTTATGGAAATCATAGCTATATAGAAAGAAGAAATCTCAGGGCTGCTTTATCAGATTTTTCTAGAACCATTAAAGAGCCCTGGTTAGTAGGGGTGATTTTAATACTATTGCCAATTTTAATAAACATCAAGGAAGGGGGGCTCCAATTCTCATCAGTTTGCAGAAATTTTCAAATTGCATCTCCTTGTGTAATCTTATTGATCTTCCTTATTCAGGCTGCAAGTATACATGGGCAGGTGTTAGATCAAATGGCAGACTGTGGAGGAGATTAGATAGGTGTCTGGTTAATAATAAATGCATTGATTTTTTATGCAATTCAGATTTCTCATTTAAATAGTGCCCCATCAGATCGTGCTCTTATCTTGGTCCAGTGTTCTTCTAATCATTATTTGCTCCCAAAGCCTTTAGATTCCAAAATATGTGGTTGTCCCACTGTACTTTTATGGATTTGGTCAAATAATGTCTTCTAATACATTATTTGCTCCCAAAGCCTTTAGATTCAAAGTCTTTGTTAAGTTTCCATCTTACTCGGTGTAGGACAACAACATTTTACAATTTCTCAATGTCTGCAACATATAGTTCCTTAGCACATAGAATTGAAGTCTGATAAATTTTCACAATTCAGATATTGCAACTCATATGTGTGGTCGACCAAAGATAACCACAAAATGCAAATAGAAGTAGTCATTGCATAAACACATAACAAGCGTGACTCTTCTTTCTAGAAAATGTGTTATTAGTTGTGCTAGAACAGTGTAAAATATTCGATGAATAATCATAAGGAGATTTCACTTCTTGCTTCAACCAATTATAAATGCTGATAGCGTCCAACCAATCACTAGTGCAAAAACGTCAAGCTGCGGTGCTCGTTTTGCGGCGCTTAATTAATAAGCGCCTTCAGAAATGTAACATGCGGCGCTTATTCTATTAAAGCGCCGTTCTCCAGCTCGAAATATTAAAAATATTTCTTTGAAGAATGCGTGCGGCGCGTATTATAATTAAAGCGCCGCATAGTTTATATTTTTTAATTAAAATTTCGTTCTGATATTTGTGCATGCGACACATTCTACCAAACAAGCGCCGCTCAGTTGAATTCGGGATCACTATTCCTTTACCCGTTGAGTTGTTCCACTACCAAGAAGAAAAGGAATTCGGGATCACTATTCATCGTGAGGATCTGATTGAATTTCTTAAGGGCGATTCTCTGGATATTAGCATTGTTCAGACTTTTTTATTGTAAGTATTAATACGTAAAAATATTAAAAAATATTACATATAAAAAATTAAACTTAACGAAGACATAATATATTGTGTTATTTTGTTGAATACAGTTGTATCAAGCATAAACGGGATGAACTTGGTTGTGATGATGTTGCATTGTTATGCCCATCAATGTGCTCTCATAAAGCTTATCAAATTGACAAGAAGGGTACAATGACATATTTCAAACATGCCTTAAATGTCAATTTTGAGAAAAGAATGATCTTCTTGCCATATAATGAAGGGTAAGTGTAATGTAAAATTACTATTTTTGGTTATTTAAAATTATTTATTTTGACTAACTTGATACATGTTTTTTAAAACTAGGTTTCATTGGATCTTGATTGTGATTTGTCCAACAGTTGATAAAGGCTTCATCTTTAACTCTATTCTAAGTGGATCTAGCTTTGCCATACAAAAAGACTTGGGAATGTACGTAAATTACATTGTTTTTTTAGTATATAATTGTTATATGTATTGTACCTTATAACTTATATAAATATATTTAAATCTTTACAATTCTTATAGAGCGTATAGAGTTGCTTCTACACGTACACTATGGTCGTGGAAAGTCAATCAAGTGGCATGATATCAAGGTATATAAATTCAATATGTTGTTCAACAAGTAGCATATTTCATTTTTACCCTCTTTGACTATTTTTATATGCATTATAATTAAAGTGTGCAAGACAACTTGGGAGTACAGAATGTGGATATTATGTCATGTGCTATATGTGGGAAGCAATTTTTTATCAAGGTAGCATTGACATCGGAAAGGTATAACAATATGTTTTAATTTGACTATGATATGCATTGTACTTTACAAACTATTCATTTTTTATGTTTTTAATTATTTCAGGATTGGTCACCAAGAAGTGAAGCGTATACCGTTGAAGAGTTTAACAATATTCGTGATATATGGGCAAGGTTCTTTTTAGATGTAGTTATAAATATGTAGATTAGCTACAATTTCTTATTTGGATTGTAATTTAAACTTAGCTTTTGTCATTTCGTGTTTAATTTGGAAGTGTTGCTACAATTTGTCTTTGATGTAACAAAAAATTGATGTATGTTTGTATTTTGGTAAACATATAGTGTGTTCGAATGCTAGTAACAATACAGATTTGATGAATGTGTATGTTTTGGAAAATTAGGAATTATTAATTATTTAAATGTAATTTTTAAAAAAAAAATTACACATGCGGCGCTTTTTTAATGTTATGCGCCGCACGTATTTTAAAAATTGTACTAAATATGCGGCGCTTGTATGCAATAGGCGCCGCAGATAGAAAACGTTTTTTTTTTTAAATTTTTTATTTATACGCGGCGCTTGTCCAAAAAAAGTGCCGCACGAGGGGCCGAATTTTATAGTAATTTTAAACGCCCATATGCGGCGTTTAATTTAAATAAGCGCCGCAACATCCGCGGCGCGTTTATACAAATAAGCGCCGCTAAAAATTCCTGTGCGGCGGTCGAATATGCGGCGCTTAAAAGCGCCGCACTTGTCCAAAAAAAGTGCCACATAACACTCGTTTTCCACCAGTGAATCTAACACATAACTGTCTTGATTGATATATGTGATCATACTACGTTGATAAACTTGCAACTCCTTTTGTAAATATATTCATATGATCCATACCACGTCTGAAATAAGAATTGTTCGTATTTCTCCCCTACACATATAACTGCATTAAACACATTATCAAAATAGTTCTTCTCTAAATGGATGACATCAAGATAATGTCGTATGAGTAAATACCGTCAATACAGTTCTCAAAAATAGATATTTTATCCAATTGTGTGATCTACCAAATCCATCTACATGCAAGTTAATTAACACAGTCCCCACAAGGACAAAAAAATGGAATTAAATGTTAAATTGTTTTAACGACTTCGAAAATAATAAATTATATCAAGTTTTGCAAGATTGGGTTGTTGAATATAAATTGCTGCGAAAAATAAACTAAGTTGGTTGGTTCCTACGATTAAATGACAAAAAGGGAACAAAGATTAGTTTCAGTAAAACCATATTTCGGGTATTGATCAGAGCTAATAAAAAATTTAATTGAGCAACACTATTAGTGCTAAATTCTTATCACTCTCACAACATAAAGTAAAATGATTTCTAGTGCAAGGCTAATCGGTCATGTGACACGCCTCAGAATTGTTGCTAAACGAGCGAGTGCATGACTCACTAACCGTGCTAATCTCTTAATGGGTGGTAAGGTATGTGTGAAGGTGCTTATCTTGAAATTGCAATCGTGATTGTTTGACATCCTCATACACTTTCACCTCGATCCTTTCATATTCTCCTCATGATGTCTACACACACTACTACAAAATCATGTTTTGCCTACAAAATATGTTGTTGAATTTATTGAAGTTTCAAAGAAACATGTTAATAATTGAGGCCTTGCACGATGCCTATGCAGTAAGCGTAACAAGTGTGATTGTATGACATTAAGGAAAATTGGACTACACTTGATCACGAATGGAGTGTCGTATAATTAGAGTGTGGATTCATCATGGTGAACGAATGAAATTAAATGATGATATTACTTGTTATAATGACAAGGTCATGGATATCATAAATGATTTATATTTGTTTGCCGCACACCACCATTATGAGATAAATGATGATGAACCAAACCAAACTTCTCATGAGAAGTTGCGGAAGATCAGGATATCCCGACCATGTTTGATAAAGAGATTGAAAAGTATGAAAGACCACTGAGAGAAGCACGAGAAGAACTTTATCGAGGTTGTATATATTTTTCTGTGCTATCATCTCTTATGGAGTTGATGCAATTCAAAGTGAAAAACCATATGACCAACAAGTGTTTTGATGAACTTATGTGTATATTGAAGAGGATGCTTCTTGTAGGGAACACGTTGCATGCTAGTTATCGTCATGCCCAAAAGATTACGAAAGATCTAGGACCTGGGTATGTAAAGATTCATTCCTACAAATACGAGTGTGCTTTGTTTTATAAAGAAAATGAAGAATTAGATGAGTGCCAAGTGTGTAACAAGGCAAGGTTCGAGGTGAACAAAAATGAGAAAAAAAAAGTCCGAAAAGAAGTTCTAGGTTATTTCCCATTGAAATCGCGTTTACAATGTTAATTCATACCGATGCATACGACAGATAACATGAAGTGGCATGCTGAAGAAAGAGTTGATGATGGTGTCATGAAGCAACCAGCAGATATGGTATCATGGAAAGAGTTAAAAAAACTTCGAAATGTTAGATTAGGATTTGCGAGCGACGGTTTTAACCCATTTGGAGATATAGGAACACTGTATAGAATGTGGCCTACGAGGATTGTTCCTTATAATTGGCCTCCTGGGATGTGCATGAAGAAAGAATATACAATGCTAACCTTATTGATTCCCGGTAAGCAAGAACCTAGAAAAGAAATTGATGTTTATTTGCGACCGTTAATAAATGAGTTAAAAGAATTATGGAAAATAGGTTTTCAAACATATGATAAGGTGACATGTTCCATTTTCAACCTACATGTTGCAGTACTCTGGAGGATTAGTGATTTACCTGGTTACGTGAATTTATCTGGGTGGAGTACCAAAGGATACAATGCATGTCCTAATTGTAATGATGATGGGAAATCTGCTTGGTTTGGTGACAAGTTTTTTATATGTGTCATCCACATCGCCTACACCATAATCACGTGTGGAGTATAAATGAGAAGTCCTTTGATGGAAAAACTGAATCTCGTGCAAAACCTAGGAGACTATCAGGTGAGAAATTTTTATCCATATACAGAGCACATGATTCTGGAAATTTGTTTTTTTATCCCGGAGGAGCCACTAGAAGTGGGGAAAGCGTTGGGGAGCAGACAATTCCGGAACACTTCCCAATTCTTATTAAAAATTAAATTACAAAACCAGAGTTCAAATAAAAAAGTACAAGATGAAACACAAAAGAAAGAGTTAACAATTAAAGTTTTTTTCATGCACCTGTACAAAGGTTGAGAGCGACCAGTTGTATTTATTGTGAAAACGGATGGCCCGTTGGAGATAAGGGGGATACATGTTTGCCTCTAAGTGTGATGACTTGTAGCATTTGAGTCTTGTTACTAGCTTGTGCGGTGAGTCATAACTGTTGTAAACTGGGTAGGTGAAATAGTCTTCGTCATCCTGAAACGTTGGTGATTGACTATTGATTATCAACGGGTGGGACTGATATCCAACTTCATAGAAAAGTTGCTTTCCTTCATCTCAGTTTGGAGGGGAGAAATCATTTTTCTTGTTTCTCTTTGATTTCTCTTGTGTAAATTCTTCTAATATAGTACTTTCATTTGGTAACCTTTCATTAGTAATGTTTTTATCATTTCTTCCCTCAACAAACTTTCTATTGGGAACACCTCCATGTGCATCGTCCCTAGCACTATCTGATGCTACAATTTCCGACGTAGTAATCTTTGTAGCGTTATGTGAGCTTGGTGAATTATTTGATAAGTTATTTTATTTTCTGTATTAAGTTATGATTATTATCTGGCATAGTCAAGATTATGATAGTACTATATTTCAAGATTTTAATGATGTTTTTATCCAAACATCACCATAAAATGAACTAATATTTAAAGTGAAAGAATAGGTGATATGTACTCGGGAACAAGTTCCCTCAGTTATCAGTTATCAGTTTCACAGAGTCTGATATGCTTAGCGGGTCGCTCCCCTGAGCTGTCGGATTGGCGTCATTGAGTACATACATATCACGGGCCCGCAGTTAAAATTAGCCACAAAGAGTTTTACAGAAAGTTTGTGAGATCTCTTTCAGAAAGTTTTACAGAAAGGTTTTGGGAAAGAAATTTTGAGATCTCTCCCGCAGTTTTGAGAAATTATCTTAGAAAATATTTTTTTGAGATCTCTCTCAGAATTTATTTGAGAAGCTATTTGTTAGTTATTTTTTCAGTGCATGCTTGTAGACTAAATTTATCTGATAAATTAGCATAGATTTCTCAGATATATTTGTGGATTCATAGTGACTTACTAAGCGTAAAGGTTATAAGTTTTCTTTCTTCACATGTACAGATACTAAAGGTAAGGCCAAGGCCTAGGAAGATGATGAGGGAGTGGAGCGCGTGCTGAAATGAGTTAACGGGGGGCGACCATGATGGCTTCTAGCTAGTTATTATTTTATTTAAGTATTTCAGTTGTTATAATAAAGTGATTATTATTACTTTATTTTATTTGAAGATTTGAAGTTTGAATAAATTCTTGGATCCAGGTAATTATCACATTTACTGGTGATATCCAGATTTTATTAAGTTCTTATTTGCGATTATTTTCGTTACTTTGAGATTTTATCAGTTTTTTTAAAACAAACAGTCGTTATATTGCAATTATATCCGACGAAGTAATTTTGTAGTGTTAGTTATCAGCATTGCATATTGGTGCTACAGTTTCTCTCT